GAAGACCTTTTATAAATCTATGAAAGAACCAAAACACGATTGTTTTTTGTGTAACCATCGTATAAAATTCAGAGTTCTGGGAGTCACTAGAAGTTCAAGGCTGACACGGTACACGTGGTCTTTACGTGGATGTCAACTTTCGTTCACGACTCTTCCTGAAGGACTAAAACCAGAACAGCCTGCAGGGCCACCGTCCTACCTGTTGGCAGCAATGTAGCCCATGAACAGGATGCTGGCGTACATGTTGAGGTAGAAGGCAGAGGCGCCGAAGTTGCAGTAAACCAGGCGGATGTGGATGGAGTCGGAGGCGTAGTACGCGACTTTGACGGGCAGGCAGAGGCTGAGCAGGAAGTCGGCGGCCGCCAGGTTCTTCAGGTAGATGGTGACGCAGCCGGCCGACTGCTGCTGAGATCCGCAGAAGTAAAACCTCAAGGTGAAGCCGTTCAGCACCAGACCCACCTGCAGGGTCACAGCGTTTAGTCGAGACTCAACCCAACACATCCCGACGCCGCTTCGTCATCGTGAACTCACCAGAAACACCAGGCTGTAGATGACCACGAAGAAGAAGCGGGCCGAGGTGTTGGCCAGGTCGCAGGGCTCGGTCACGTTGGTTCCGTTGGTCGGCGCCGCTCCTCCGAGGTCGGCCATGGTTCTGGGCTCAAGAACAGTGATGCTACAAAATCAGTCTGAACAAAGCAACTGCTCAAGAAGAAAGTGGCTGGTCATTTTAAACTGTATTTTCTGAACCGCGTTACTGTTATCTTGCTGGTTATTACAGTTTTGTTAAATTTACAGATAAAAAACTATTTTCATTTCTAACAAAGTGTTAAATAGAAAATCAGGCCAAAACTGTAATAAAAAAAATTGTCTACACCAAAAATCTGCCTTTTTAGAAAATAATAATTTGTATTTTTACAACATGTGACCATCAAATTACAACATTTTTGCTTTATTTAGATCAGAAAAATATATATAATGTGAATTATAGTTGCCTTTATTTGAAGGAAACATGCATATTAAGGACTTGAAAAGGGCTAATTTATTTTTTTTTAAACTAGAATTTTAACCATTTTTATTAAATTACAGATAATATCTCCTAAAATCACAAATGGAGCCTCAAGTTACATGTTCACTGTCATGTCAAACATCTCCATATTAAAAAATAGTTATTTGGTCTTTCACAATATGTGACATTCATAAGGACTGACAAATAGTTTCTTTGTTCCATTTTTTTTGTCAAATTACAGATAAAATGTAATAAAATCAAAGACAAAAGCATTAGTTTACACGTTGACAGTAAAACAAAAATACAGATCAAAGCTGTAAGTAGCACTGACATCAAAAATCTGTATTTTAAATATTGTAATCTGGTTTTTAACAGTGTGTGGCTGTAAAATTATACCGTTACTGTATTCAAATCATTATTTTACTGAACTGACTGTCATGTTTGAATATTACGGTATTGAACAGTCTTTTCGGGTATTTTTTTCTGACACCTTTGCTGCTAGATCTCACTTTGTTTTGTTATTATTATTTCTTGACTCAGACTAAAAGCTATTTTCAGACGGGTTCTAGTTTGGGTTTGTGGCCTCAAACATTTCTGAAGAGGAAGTCCGTTTGACACGAATGTTTCCTCTTTATTCTCATCAACACATTGACTAGTGGACCATCTGAAAAAGTGAAATGAAATCTGATTGTTGAAGTTTAACCTAATTTTTACAAGTTCATTCAGAAGGATTGAAAAAAAAAAAAAGCAGCCAGTTAGCTTAGCTTAGCTGTTAGCCTTGTTCTGCTCAGTCAGTCCTCTCAAATGCTGTTTTCCGAAACTATTCCTTTAATTTTTAATTTGACTTTTGCTTAAAAAATGCTATTTATTGCTCTGAACGCTCACATCTCTGCTTTCTGTGTGTTGCAGCTTGTGTTGCATCAGCGTTTACCTCAAAGCTGCAGCCTGAAACCACCAGTCAACATGTGGTAAACAGCAGCAGATAGTTCACTGCAGTGCAACCCTGTTCGTGATCTGACTGCGCAGCAGGAACCTTTGTTCGAGCTGAAGTCACTGTCCTGTAGTGGTGACCTATATCAGAGAAAACACCTAAAACCTGCAGGCAGTCATCAAGAAGGTCACATCATCTGCATAGAAAAATACATCACAGATTTGCACTTTTACCTTTGGAGTCTACAAGCATGTGTTTACATGCATTAGCGTTCAAAAAAGCATTATTTTTCTCGCGCTTTGTACTGCTTTTCTTAACTGCAGTGGCGTTAACAATCACACTGAAGGCCATTGTGTAGTAAATAAACAAGAATATACAGTTAAACTAATTATTTCTGCCCGTCTGGACGATAATCTGCACGAGTTATTTAGGCTCAAAGTTTTGGTTTTGATCACAGGGTTGCATTTTTTCCTTTGCATTATTTAAACTTCCACCTCCAGTAATGTAACATTTGGTAAATATTTCTGAAAATGTAAAGTTTATAAAAGTTTGCGTTCAGATTATCTAATTTTGAAATTATTAGTTTTAGGAAGTGGGATGTTTTTAATGTTCAACTCATATACCAAAGCTCAAAAATGTTTTAAAACAGTAATAATGAAAATAGAAATGCACCTAAATTGAAGAATCATGATGTTAATACTCAAATAAAAGTATCAGTTTAGGAAAATTTGCAATATTGAACAGTTAAATAACAGCAATCGTAGGTGCTGCGTTCTTATCAGATCATCTGAAAGCAGTTCTGCCCAACAAATATTCAACATACTGTACATGCAGTCAGTCGTGGAGTAATTCACATCATCTGCATAGAAAAACACATATTATAAACATTTAAAATTCAGATTTCTGACTATTTTTTGGAAAGTGTGATGTTTTAAATGCCTGATTCAGATTTTAAAGCTTTAAAATTGGAAAGAATTCATTGTCAAAGCTAACTAAAATAGTACAAAATTAGCTAAATTTATTTATTTTAAATTTGAAAAACAAAATAAAAGTACCAGTTTAGGAAAATGTGCAATACTGAGCAGGTAAATAAAAGTAGTAAGTAGTACTATGTCCTTGTCAGACACTAAATAAGTCCAGCTGAGCAAGTATTCAAATATACTGTCATGGAGTAAATCACATCATCTGCGTAGAAAAAAATCTCTGAATATTCCTACAGCAGCGAGTCACAATCTGATAAATGCTCCTGTTTAATGAAAACAGACGTGAGGAGTTCTTTTGTTTCGACTCCTCACAGTGAAATCGTTTCTGACTGAAGCTTTTTAAATCATCTGTGCAGCGTTTTTAAAGCCTGAAATGTTGGGAACCACATTAAAGGTGGGAAACACGAACCACAACCAGAATGCTTTCCTGTCGACTGAAACCGCAGGAGGAGAAGCACCTGCTTGAGGATTTCATATTATTTTGATGTTAGCTGCTGCACATCAGTAAGCTGATAACGTTGCCAATATGTGAAGCTTTCTAAACCACAGCAGATAGCAAACACAAGAAAAAGCAGCTGTTCCATCTTTAAAAACAGTTTTATCTGCTGTAACTCAGAGTAGCAAGACTAACCGGTGCAGCAGAGGTACAAAGAGCAGATTCACCTGCAGGACTCACCTGTCTGAGCGTCTGTCTGAGTGAATGTGTTGAGAAACACAGTTTGACTTCCTCCTGCACAGCGTTGACATCAGGAAGGACCAACCGTACAGAGAAGGAGGGGCAGAAACAACACTGGGCTGTTTATAACCGGCTCAACTTCTGAACGTTCTCCTCATTTGCAAGTCAAAACCCTGTTTTCCTGAACGACAGGACGAGTTCCCCAGAGAGGAAGCATTTGATGATGTGATGACGTCTGAGCAGGAGGATTTATCAGAAAACTGCTCCACACCTGCTCAAACACCGAGACAGGAACTGGTCCAAAATGTGCCACAAAACCAAAAACCAGGAGCTCAAAGAGGCTGAAAGGCTTCAGGAGACGGCAGTGTTTGGTTCTGTTCCAGAAATACTGACAAAACTGACGCGCTGGGATCAACTCATTAGTGTGTGCATCAGTTCTAGGATTTATTGTTTTCATACACTGGTTTCAGACCAGGTTTAGACTGGTTTCAGACCTGGTTTAAGTCTGACTTCAGACTGGTTTCAAGCCTGGTTTCAGACTTGGTTTTTGGCTGGTTTTACACCTAGCTTTAGACTGGTTTCAGACTAGGTTTTATACTGGTTTCAGACCTGGTTGTGGACTGGTTTTGGGCCTGGTTTTAAACTGGTTTCAGACTTGGTTTCAGGCTGGTTTCAGACCTAGCTTTATACTGGTTTCAGACTGGTTTAGGGCTGGTTCTATACTGGTTTTGAATTCTTGCTTGGTTTGGGACTAATCTAGACTTTGTTGTGGACTGGTGTGAGACCTGGTTTGTGACTTTTTGACTTTGGATCAACTCTATTATTTTGGGTAAATTACTCATTATTTTGTGTCCTGGTTGAAGGATTTATTGTTTTGAAGCATTTTATTCAGTTTATTGTTTATCATAATTCAGTTTAATTCATTCCACAGTTGTTGTTTTTTAATTGTACAGACGTTTATTTCTATGCAGGGAACATTTAAAATGTTTTCTCTTGTGCTGGTTTCAGACCTGGTTTGGTATTTTGTATTTATACTGGTTTTGGATTAATTTACAACTGGGACTAGACTAGTTTCAGACGTGGTGTGGGACCTTGTTTCAGGATGGCTGTTTGTTGGTTTAGGACTGTTTTTAAACTGGTTTCAAGTCTGGTTTGGGACCCGGCTTAAGACTGGTTTTTGGCTGATTTTACAAATGGTTTGGTACCTGTGTTGGGGACTGGTTCTACACTGGTTTGGGACTTGCTTTTAGACTGTTGTTCTCCTGGTTTCAGAAAAGTAGACGGAAAAGAGTTTATTTCTAGGTATGAGACTCACGTGGGCTCTTATCACTCAGCTGATGTGTTTCTGAGAAACTACCAGAGGTTCTAACTGTTTATCTTTAATTTGTGGTTTTAACAGCAGCAGCAGAACGAGAGATGATGATCGCAGATACTGTCGTTGTAATGAATGTTGTAACCGAGGTTACCTGCTGCCCTCTGCTGGTCATACTGCAGAAATACACACCTGTCGAGTGGAAAAGTTGGAAATCAGCTGCAGCTCTTTGTGGACTTTCTGGATCTGTGGCTACTTTATTAGATGATGAATGTGTTTGTCATTAATCTGTTCATTAAAACCCCAAATAATATTCCTTAATTTACTATTACTTTGCCCCAAACTCATAATTAAGCTCAGAACTAAACTGAATTAAATTAAGTTAAATTTAAAAATAATTGTTTTTTATTTGCTATCTGGAAAACATAAATGTCAGAGTTTAAAAAAAACTTCATAGGAATTCTTTAAAATGTCACTTATTTGTTTCTGAAGGTATTTCATATTTATAAAGTGAACCAAAAAGTCCTGATTCCTTTATTCATTCTAAAATGTTGCCACAAATTATAACTAAAGAAAACAAGCTAATAAATACATTTTAAAAATGTTCTTAATTTATTACCTGGTAAAATTAAAGTTAAAAAATTTGAAAACTCAATAAGAATCCGTCAGAATATTATTTATTTGCATGTAGAGGTGTTTCACTCCTGTCAAGGGAACCAAAAAGCCAATAACAGGTTAAATTACGTCTCTCTGCCCCCTGGTGGCCATAGTGTGTTACTACACCTGTGTCTGTTTTTTAGATTTGAGTATTTTGGGGGCTGTTTCCCATCAGTCATAGTAAACATTTACTCTCTGAGGCCCGTGTATTGTGTGTTTAATGTTTTTATACTAGTTTCAGACCCAGTTTCAGACTTCGTTTTAGATTTGGTTTGGAACTGGTTCAGTAACTGGTTTTAGACTGGTTTTGGTGAATTTCTGTCCAGTTCGGGATTTGATTTGGGACCTGGTTTAAGGATGGTCATGGGCTGCTTATGAATGGATTTTTTACTGTTTTACACTGGTTCAGGATTTGGTCTTTGATTGGTTTCAGAGTGGTTCTTGACTGGTATCAGACCTGGTATGTATTCTGGTACTGGACTTAGATTTAGACTAGTTTCAGACTGGTTTTTGATCCGTTTGGACTTAGTTTTAGACTAACTTTGACCTGTTGTTATACTGGTTTCAGACTGGTTTTGAAACTGTCTTGGGACTTGGTTTAAGAATGGTTGTAGGCTGGTTTGGGTCTGGTTTGAGAATGGTTTCAGACCCAATCCAGATCTGAAACCAGTCTAAACCCAATACAAAACCAGAAAATAACCATCCTTAATCCATGTTTCAAACTTGTCTAAAACTTTGTCTTTGACTGGTTTTGGTCTGACTTTTGCTGGTTTGACAACTGGCCTATGGATGCTTTGGTACTGGTTTGGGACTGGTTTAAGACCTGGTATGTATTCTGGTTCTGGACTTTGTTTTAGACTGGTTTCAGACTGGTTTTTGATCCGTTTTAGATTGGCTTTGGTTTGAGACTTCGTTCTATGTTGGTTTGTGCTGTTTTTAAACTGGTACCACAATTAGGTTTGGCCTGTTACTGGTTTTGACTCGGGCTGGATGCTTGACACAGTTTATATCCACAACCTGCAGCATCTCTTTGGCCTCTTTACTCTGTTTTATCTCGTTTCTGCTTTGATGAAGTCTGACACCTGCAGAATGTAAACAGATCATGTTTTCTGGGGTTTCCTCAGACGAAGGACTCGTGACTTCAGAGCCACAAAACCAGACCAGCTGAGTTTATTGAGAAGTTAAACATTGATGGTATCGTGATAAACTCTGTAGCAGAGTCGCAGGTTTGATGCCCAGTCATCACTGTTCAGTTTCACTTCCACGCCACCTCTTCCTTCCTGTTTCTTTCCTTTCTGCTCTTCAACATTAAATAAAACTAAATCAAGCTGTTTCTACTGTTATGTACATAAAAAATACACATTTATTTACTGTTAAACATTTTTTAAAAAAACCTTCACATTTATACACATTTCTGGAAAATAATAATAAAAATAACATCCTGAAAGTCACGTTCACAGTTAAATGTACAGTCTCAGTTTGGAACACCTGTGTTTCCATGGCAACACACTAAAGTCATCGGCCAATGATGAAGGCAGTGCAGTGTGGATGAAAGCTGCTGGAAGAAAAGATTGCTGTTCCTAAAAGTCCTCTCCTGTGACTGTGTCCTCTCCTCGCCGCTTAATGTTGCTCAGATATGGCAGTGATAAGCGACCTCTTCCTCTCCTTGCCTCCTTGCCTCCTTTCCTTGTCTCTTTGTCTAGTTGCCTCATTGCCTTCTCTCCTTGTCTCCTTGCCTGTTTTCCTAGATGTTGCTCAGATTCTGGGTGGTGGCCAGCAACCTCCTCCTCTCCTTGTCTCCTTTCCACCTCCCCTTGCCTCCTTGCATCCTCTCCTTGTCTCATTACCTCCTCTCCTTGTCTTCTTGCCTCCTCTCCTAGATGTTGCTCAGACTCTGGGCTGTGGGCAGGAACCTCCTGCCCTTCTTCTCTACTTGCCTCCCTTTCCTTGTCTACTTGCCTAATCTCTTTGCCTCCTCACATCCTCTGCCTTGTCTCTCTGCCTCCTCTCCTTCCCTCCTTGCATCCTCTCCTTGTCTCTTTGCCTCCTCTCCTTCCCTCCTTGCATCCTCTCCTTGT